CAGTATTATAATATATTTATAATTATTTATAATATATTATTAATATATATTTTTAGTTGGAAGAACGAAACATCGAATTAGAAGGCACGCGGGCGCGAGTGCGCGTGTTAGAACGCCTTCAGCAACGACCACCGACGGAAGTCGAACCAGAAGCGGATCTGGAACAACCCAGATGCGAGCAGAGCGGCGTCGAGCCTGGTAGCAGTACGGAGTCCGCGCGAGATCATCATCAGCCGGTAGAGATCAAACCGTCGCCACGGCGGCGTCCTAGTCGTATACCTTTACCTGGCAGCGCGAGTGGCAAGACGTCGTCGACGACGCCTACGACAAGCGCGACTACGATCGCGCCACCGCGATCTAGTCACGGCAGGAACGACAGCAGGGAATCGCTCAAATCGCTGACGAGACCACCGCGTGATTCTAGTCGTGACAGCCACGGCGGCGGCAAATCGTTATCGAAAGCACGCGACTCTAGCCGGGATTCACTCGGCAATAGGAGTCTGTCCAAGAACGGCGGCAACGGAAGCAGCAGCAGTAATGGTAGCGGCGGCAGCGGCGGCGGCGGCGGCGGCGGCAATAAGGAAGCAAATCGGGAGTCATCCCTGAATAACCGATCCCTGCCTCGTAACAATTCCAGCCGAGATTCCCTAAATAAATCCTCCTCGCTATCCCGTGCCCGTGACTCGTTGGAATCTAACAACAACCTCAGCACATCCTCACCTACGACAAATACCCCTCCCCGACGACCGCCCGCTCCCGCGCGCCGTTCCCACAGCCTGGCGCGCGCGGCGACGTCTGTCGATGCGTCCGAAAACGGCAAGGTACGACCTGTAAAGCAATTCTTTTGGAGCAGCTGGCTGAAGTCACCGTTGTCCAACGGCCCGGTATAGTAGAAAGCTCTCGGCAAGCCTTCTCTTCCTATGAACGACAGACCACAGTTGCTCTTTCTCTCCCCTCCCCTCTTAGACACAATCACGGTCTCTAACAGCGTATCCTTTGGAAAACTATTGTCTTGCTTTTATAGTAAGATCCAGAAACCGTTATTTCTTTCTGATACAGTCCCATCTCGGTCTGGATTTATTTTAAGCTTATCAAAATTTGGCTAGACAGATTAAATGGCGTCGCTCTCATTGACTATCTACTTTCTATTCTACCATCATTTCTACTTGACAATAAATTTCTCTACACTGTCTGTTTGTCTTACTTTTATATTTCTCGTCATTATGACGATCACTGTTACTGTCATACTGTTACATCACATCGCGTACAATAACCGTAATTACAATAAACGTGACTATATCAACCGGTGATACTAAGAAAATACATATGTTTACGTTTATATCTGGTCCGATTTCTTGCGATGATACAGACAGATGTATGCAACATTGTCATTTTTCCCCCCGTTTTTCCCACGGCATCTTTTTTCATTACATCCTTTTTCTATTCTCCTATCTCTACCACGGACTTCGAGACACGGTACCGCCAATGTATGATCATACAAAGACGGAACTTTTCTGTTTTCGCTGAGAACGTACCACTCTTTGCCTAGTAAACCAATGTTCCTGAAAAACACATCTCTAACAATACATGCAGAGACTCGAGTGAGCGAATCGACCGAGATTCTTATATTAAAACCATCAATTGCCCGCCCGACCGTCCACCATACCGAAATCAGTCTGACCTGGAGGGCAGGCGAGCGTGCGTTCGAGCCCGTCCCCGGCGGTCCAATAAAGAAAGAAAATGGCCCCTTCTCGCGTGCCACCGGGTTTTTCTCGTAAGTTATGCTTCTTTTATTATCATTTGCTTCGATGCTTCTCTTTTGGATGTGGTGAGCTGCAGCCTCTGCCTTTTCAATCCACTTTCATGTATCCTAGCTTACACCAATAGAGTACACCTTAGTTTTAACGTTTTCACTTGGATTTTAGCATGCGCACATACCCGTAGTTAAATCTCCCAGGGGTGAGTATTAGTAAAAATGCTTATGCCCGCGAATATTTATTACGTGAGAGTTCTTTTAGCTTTCGGAATGTATAACAACAGTTTTAATATGCTAAGATTTTTTTGCCTGGACGTAGAGTTAATATAAACGGACTATTCATTAAGTTAGTCTGCTATCATGAAGTTCAGCATTTAGAGATTCTTATCTTTATTTCTCTCTTTCAAGAAAGAATGCTAATTCCATAAATATTAAATTTAGACTAAAGTATATAATGGAAATTAATATATTTTTTTAGTTTTCTAATCCCTAAGCAACTTTAAAAGTAGATTCTAACAATCCGTAGCAAAAATGTTGGAAATTAGCGTAAAATGAAATAAGTATACGATATTTTGTATCGGTATATATCGCATTTGGTGATAAAGGGTTATCGTGGTTGCTCGTTGAATTTTCAGCTTTTTCTCTTCTTTCGATCGTTTATTTGCAAGATCCATGCATGCGCGGCCGATCGTGGAATATTTATTCAAAGTCTATGCATTCGTCGCGACAAACACGAGCTTTTGTCGATGAAATTTGATTGAAATAAGACCGACCGCTCGATAAAAGTAAAAGACGTTCTAGGCACGTTTAGACAATTTCAAATTTGCCTTTCGCCCATAAAAACGCACACAACCATACACGTTCGATCCGACACATATGTCCAATTTACCTCGACACTCCCTTGGTTCCGCCAGTACATATTTTCAAGCATTTGTTATTCTCACGATGTAGAGAGTCAACATTTCTTTTAGCACGCATCTTTCCGATCGTCATGAGCATTCACCTCGCGCCAGCGAGCCATCCTTTCCGCTCATACGTTTGTGTGTTTAGTTGGTTTGCTCTTTTCGTTTGCTGAAGTTTGATCTTATTTGCTAGCGTTGCTTGTATGCGGATGTAAAAGCCCGAGAGAGCCGTCGCAGTCGCGATCTACTACAGTCGTACAGCGCGATTTTGAAGGAAAATGAATCGAGCACACGCTTACCTGCTTGGCCTTGCGGTTCATTGTCCATCTCATGTCCAGCAATATCGCGCGCGGAACGATGCTTTATGATATTTTACGATATATTCGTCCATACATTCGCAAATATAATTCCATGAGACGCTCTCTTGATTATTACGATTCTTACGTACGTTAACATTTTTACAATATGATTGAATTCGAATTATCAATAAAACTGCTTCATATGAGATTTTTACTTTGGCCCATACAACATGTTTTATAAATATGGGATGACATCTTGATACCTCAGCATTAAAACAGACAGTGATATCAATAATCGGTATCTACAATTAATTGCAGATTTTTATCATCTTATATCTATAATTTTCTACAAACACAGAAATTGATTGTTCTACTGGCTGTTCCAAATTCTTGGGTATTAATATAAAATTTATTTTTATCACATGCACTTTCAAGACGACACGGATTGTAGTCTTGGCGGGAGAATTTTCTCGCTTGTAATAGAACAGCAGGGTGCGGTTTATTCGTCTAACTGACTAAACTAATTAATACGCATATTTTTCAGAACTGCACCGAACCACCAAGTTCCTGGTGCTCGACCAACAGCAGTTTCCGGCACAGTGATTCATCGCTCTATCCAGACTCCCTGAATCAAGAGACATCGTCCGTCACCGGTTCCACGCGGGTGGAATTCATAATCGGTTCACCCACCAGGCGCTTCCGTACAAGCGCCGCGTGGCCTCATCATTACTTCGACAGTATTAACTCGGCGGCTACGGTACCGGAGAGCCTGTTAACCGACGAGTTCCCTTTGCGACGCGGTGAAGCTCTGGCCGAATGCGATTCGCTCGAATGTCATCCAATTTCAAGCGAGGAATAAGTGCCGCGTAATCGTTGACATTGCGTCGTCGGATTTATGGAACAAATAGGGTTGAGTCGCGTAGCGAGCAAGTTGTTCTGGCTTCTTTTTATTATGTTATGTTGGATAACTGGCTCTGCAGACATGCGGTCTTATCCGTATCATGTCACCGATGAATATGCGAATGTAGAAATAATAGAATGTAGGCGCACACTCATTTAGGAAATACGACACGCTGAAAGAATGACATTCGCATTCCTAATGACCCTTATTCCGTGCCTTTTTAATATCGAAGTTAATGGTTTTTTTTTTTTTAAACATCTTACAGTAATTCTAAACGAGAAAAATCCATAACGGTGTGTTTCTAAATTGAAATATATTATACAATACTATTTCTCACTACAGGATTTATTATATACTTTTCTCAAGTTGCATTTAGAAAGCATTTCATACATCTTTGTAATATGGCAAAAATACTTTAGCAATCTTATCTAATCAAAAGTAATATATCGACTTGTCTTGCGAATGTGCATCAATTTGTAACGAATAGAACTGACATAGCTAATAATAATAATTGCGAAAAGATTTATGCTATGTTTTCACTGGCGATATAGAAATATAGTCGAAATTTCGAATTTGTATAAATATATCACGTTTATTTATAGCACAAAAGAAAAACGCAGAGACATAATCAAAAATTATTTCACATCTTTTAACGAGATTCTACAAAAATACATATTACTTTTATTGTATCCAGACTTCTCGTAACTATATGAAACATATACCTAACTTATATTGAAAGGTATACTAATTCATATCAATCAAGAAAAATTTTTTTTAATATCTATAGAATTTTTTGTATATATTAGTAAAGGCAATGCCGAACATTTGTGTCTATTCATTTTGATATTTTTTTATATTATTTGATATTATATTTTCTAATACCGTATAAATGAAGAACTTGGTTTACTTAACCAACATCAAGAATGAGTTTGTTAATCAAACTTTCAATTACTTGGTCCTTGTTCAGTAACAGTACTCTGCAATTCTGTTGATTTTGTATCTACGTGTCTTATATATCATTAGTCTTGTGTATTTTTTACATTATTGAATATTATTAGGTCTTTAACAGAAAATTTCTCATTGCGTCTAGCAAAAGTGTCGTTAGCACTCAGGTATGTGCTAAGTTCCAATCAGATTATTAACTCGCAACAGAGAATACCAGAGTCGATAGTTCACATTCCATATGTTCAAGATGCAATTTTATATTCCATTTAGCATTTGTATCTTCGATTTGAATCTGTGTTATAATTGTCTTCTTATTTATTGCATATATTGTAATAATAAGGATATATGACGATTGTAATTGACGAAAAGCATTATTTGTGTATACTACGGGTAAGCGGATTACATTAAAATTGAAATTCAGAAAATGAGGGTGATACTGAAATTCATCGACTTCGGAAATATATCGAGTGCACTGTTCGCATTCTCTTTTGAATATAATACATATCACGTTTAAACATTAATTATCGCGCGCTCGTCCACGAGATACAATTAACGGATATACATTGAGGGCACGAACATCGAATACCTACAGAACGTTCGATTTATGTTCCGTCCGATTCACTCATATGTTGCACGGTATGTTAAGAAAGTTTATATTTAATTTCGCTGTTTATTTGCGTTGTTCGTTCGCAAAATGTATACCATACTCGAGAGTGATAAGAGTGAGCAATGTTGATCTTTACTCGTCATAGGGAAGTTGAGGCTCGTCGGAGTTAATTATAAATTAACTATTCGTCGGAATCGCATTTTAATTCGTGTAGCTCGCGACTCCGGGGAAACACTATATACTACACAGTTCCTCGCTTCTCAAGAAACAACCGATTTAATTATTTATAACTAACAATGACAATTATTGTGAACACTGAATAATATAATCACAGATGGAGCCTGTGATCCTAGTTATAAATAAACTGCAAAACATGTGATTAACATATAGTTTAAGGTGTAAACCACAGGACTGACGGACTCTACTTATTATTTTATTAGCGCCTAATCGTTTTTACGCGCGGCGAAATGAACAGAAAGACCGATGCGCATTCGGTGAATCTTGCTCTTTTTCATTATCTTCTTTTTTTCGTACGAGGGTTCGTAACGCCGCGAATGCTCAGATATTATTGTTATTCGTACAGTCGGTGGATTTTCTGGTGCCCACATCAGTGTACGCGCTGCCGACTGGAGGCTATTATTTTTATACCTTTAATTAACGAGCGTAATATCGAGAAAGAGCGTATAAATCGGCTGCAACGGTACAGCAGCCTCCCGACCCGATAGTTATTTAAGCAAAACGCTGTCACTGTATTATATTTTATCTAGTGTCTAGATATATGTCTTATCATTATAGGAATTATTAATTATTGTTTTACGGATATATATACACACACCGACACATTTGTATATAGATGACGTCGCGATTTATTTAAATAGCTCCGATGTAAATAAATTATCTATAACGAATCTGCGATAATGTGATCCTATTAATAAAATGAAATTACCTAAAGATATTTATTTATTTATTAATCTTCAATTATTAATTCTCATGCTATTTTTAGGAGTTTGACCGATCATTACAATTAAAAAAAGAACAGTTCTGCAGCAAGACACATATTATATTTCGTCATATTAAGAAATTAAGAAACCGGTTGCAATATTTTATCTTTTGCGATATAATCACTAATTATCTGAATTGATATTTATATACGAGAATACGCTGAAATCTTTCAGTGAAATATGACAGCTTTAGATATGGTATAATATATCGATAATTTTGAGATTAATCTTATTGCATATATATATTTTTAAAACGATTAATTACATATATAAACGTAAAATGTTTATATACATATATATTTTAATATCATACAAAATTTATGTCAAAACTCATTTTCATTGATCGATCTAGAACGTTATCAATCATAGCAGATACTACTTCTGATAGAGAAAAATTGCCAATGTGCAATAATGAAAAAATTTATTTGTTGAGATTTTATTCTTGCATTTTATCTATATTTTATTGTTTTATTATTATATTTTATTTTTTTCAGTTATGTGATTACAAGTGACAAGTGATACGTTTCCTGTCGTCGCGACGCGTCGATGCAGTTGAAAATTCCTGATAACGCGTGCGCGAAACGGCACATTTGCATTCCAACAATTAATTACTTGGAAAACATTGATTCGATGTAATTTTTTGTTGATTTCGAGCAGCAGCGACTTTTTTACATTCCTGACTTTGTACATAACTCTTGTGAATATAGTTAAATAAAAATACATTATAATAATACATTTGTGCTGCATGTGTAGTACGGCAGTAGCAAAATATTCCAAGTTTAACACGGTAGAGAAGCCAAGGCAATATTATGCAATATACAAAGAATTATGCATGCAACAGGCGTAATTCTTTGTCCAACTATGTAATTGTTGGAACAACAATTATATTCCATAATAACAGTACAGCTCAATGCGACAATATTATCGCACTGTCGCTCGCGTTAAACGGCGAGCATACATTGATTGTCATGCAACGACTGCTTCGTTTTTTACGGAAGAATGCATAATTTTCTTAAAAATTCTAAGAAGATCCCAAGTTTTATGCACGCTTAAACTCCTGATTGAAATTCACACGCAGAAACTTGACCAAGAAAACAAGCATGTAGGATTTCCTTGCAGGCATGTATAGTGTACTTCAGCTTCAGCTTCTTTATTCAGTTTCAGAGAATATAAGCGATTTTATATCGATATCGAGAAAACTTCGTATTCCTTGAATGTAAATGTCAAATTCGAGATTACCAATTAATTTTACCAATTATAATATTATCTTTCAATCGCACTTTGAACCACCGCGTTTTTTCGACGATCAAGTGTGCGCGTTTTCTACGGAATTAGATACTGTCCCTGTTAAACGGTTTTCTATACTAGGAAAAGTGTTAATAACTTTGAATGCCGTGCAAACAGGTTAATAGATAATTTATCATTCATCAGTTCGCCGAGAGCATCGCGAGTGAGCGAGAGATCCGGATGCTTCGCATTATTGTAGAGATCCAGCGACGACGGCGGACCTTGCGGAATTCCAAGTAACGCGTGATATGATCAAGTGAGACAACTCAAGAGGTCTTGTTACACCTTAAGATATGTATTTCGTAGTATATATATATATCTATATTCTCTATCTATAATGACAACAGATCTGTCACATCCCAATGAAGCAGAGTGCGGAGGGTACCCAAGCTCATTCGCAGATCCAGGAGGGAGAATACAATCCTTTCGCCGATCGTCCATCCGCACCTCTGACCTCGTACATAAGTTTTATATTTTTTTCTACTGTTATTGATTTTTTAAAGATTTATTTGATATTAATTCTAAACCATAAGCTGCAAATTAACGATCCGGATTGAATCAAATTAAGAAATTTAAATCAATCCAGTAAAAATATTATTATATATTTATATTATTTATTTCTCTATATTTTTTATGATACAATCACACAATAGAAAACGATATCTATCACATTCTGCACATTAGAAAATGATTTCGCCATATAAATTAGAGTTTATTTGATATAAATTCAAAGTATAATAAGATATTATTAATTCATATATATATATATATATATATATATTATTGCCTAATAAGCTTCACCTGTGACAAAATTATCAACATATTACTTGGAATCATATTCTTATTCTTATTATCAGTGAACTCTTAATTAAATTCATTATTTGATTCTAAAATGTACAATAATTACTGTAATTTCAATTACATCAAAAATTTGATATAGTAAATAATGTGTTATGATCAGATTTATTTGCCAAATATTCGTCGAATAATCATGGCAAATAATGTGAAAAAAATGTTTATCAGAACGGATCTCGTGAAACTAATTGTAAGTTAACGAGTTTGTATTTACGATTAAATATTATCTTATTTATACAATCGTGCAGTATTATCAAAATATTGCTAAATAAACAGGAAGATTGCACTCGTAATATCAATGATAAAAACTATTACAGAGATTTCGCTGCTTTCGTTCATCTGCTCAAGTGCGCGATCGGCACCGGTATACTCTTCCTGCCCCACGCTTTCAGAAGAACCGGCTATGTGATGTCCATCATTTGCGGCATCGTCGTCGGCGGGTTATGCACTCACACGGCCGTCACCGTCGTACGTGAGATAATGCGGAAGGCAAAACTTTTTATTTCGAAATTTTATCGCTAATTTAAAACGCGATAGCAATTAATAAGAGGTAAAAGGAAACTTCTCTCTCTCTCTTTCTCTCTCTTTTTCTCATTTATGACACCTGCCCTTTTCGCTATGACTCAATTGTTTTTGCATTGTCGATGAGATAATATGTGTGATAGAAGGTAAGGAAGTTCCCTCATCTCCGAATGCACAGACAGGCTCTCTCTTCGGTGTACAGGTGCAGTGCTCTCAGGCGTTATGCAGGCGCAATCGTGTGCCCATGCTGGACTTCGCCAAAACGGCGCAGTTCTCCTTCCAGACTGGTCCGGAGAGGATTCGAAAGTACGCCAGGCTATTCGGCGTAGTTACCAACGTCATCATTTGCTTCGTACACTTTCAGGCCGCCGTGATATACATCTTATACGTGGCCACGTCGTTCCAACAGGTATAACAACGCCGTGATTCTCATGTCGGATGGACGCAAAAGAGCATTGCGAGCCTTAATCGACAATTTTTATGAATGAAAAATTTTACGTTTATACGTAGAATGTTTGCATTAATCAATTTCAATTTTTTTTTAAATAAAATCTTTAATGAATTTAATGTCAACTTGTTTACTTTTTATGGAAATATTCAGTGCCTTGTATTAAAAAATTATTGTGATATTTTCATCAAGGAAAATTTTAGTAAAATTTCTTTCTTTTTGATCAAAGAAGATCTGTTAGAATGGGATTTTAGATCGGAATTTTATAGATTGATAGATTCTATGTTATCGGTGTTTGTTTTGCTTCTTTATTATTGTCTCTCTCTTTTTCTCATTTATGACACCTGCCCTTTTCGCTATGACTCAATTGTTTTTGCATTGTCGATGAGATAATATGTGTGATAGAAGGTAAGGAAGTTCCCTCATCTCCGAATGCACAGACAGGCTCTCTCTTCGGTGTACAGGTGCAGTGCTCTCAGGCGTTATGCAGGCGCAATCGTGTGCCCATGCTGGACTTCGCCAAAACGGCGCAGTTCTCCTTCCAGACTGGTCCGGAGAGGATTCGAAAGTACGCCAGGCTATTCGGCGTAGTTACCAACGTCATCATTTGCTTCGTACACTTTCAGGCCGCCGTGATATACATCTTATACGTGGCCACGTCGTTCCAACAGGTATAACAACGCCGTGATTCTCATGTCGGATGGATGCAAAAGAGCATTGCGAGCCTTAATCGACAATTTTTATGAATGAAAAATTTTACGTTTATACGTAGAATGTTTGCATTAATCAATTTCAATTTTTTTTTAAATAAAATCTTTAATGAATTTAATGTCAACTTGTTTACTTTTTATGGAAATATTCAGTGCCTTGTATTAAAAAATTATTGTGATATTTTCATCAAGGAAAATTTTAGTAAAATTTCTTTCTTTTTGATCAAAGAAGATCTGTTAGAATGGGATTTTAGATCGGAATTTTATAGATTGATAGATTCTATGTTATCGGTGTTTGTTTTGCTTCTTTATTATTGCAAAAACAAGATTATAAACTGGGAAAACAAGTAAAAAATCTTTATCTATGAGAAATTGTGATTACTTGCATTACTTTTCCATTGAACAGTTTTCACTTGTTTCATAATCTCTCATAGATATCTGATTTGAAGACAACAAATTATTTCGGGATGAATAACGTATGTTCGATATTTCCAGGTGATAGAATTTTTCTCGAGCCTTGAGATGAATCCACGAATTTACATCGTCATCTTTTTTCCCTTCACCTGTGCCCTGGGTTTCGTGCCGAACCTGAAATATCTGGCGCCGTTCTCCGTTATTGGCACTCTCTTCTTGAGCCTCGGTGTCTGCATCGCGCTCTATTACTTTTTCGACGATATTCCCGATCCTCGTAGACTAAACGCTCTTACGGAGATTCTACCTGTGCCCATGTATTGTGCTATCTTTCTATTTGCCTTACACAATATGACCCTCTATCTGCCATTGGAAAACACGATGAGACATCCCGATCATCTACCGCGCTTAATAATTGCCAGCATGTTGCTGAACACTGTTATATACCTGACTTTTGGTTTCTTTGGCTACAACAAGTACCCGAATGCCTGCGACACCGTCATCAAGAATTTGCCATTGGAAGAAACGTACGTGTATTAATTTCTGCCTTGCAAATTGCTTGCTTTGCCATTCATTCGGTTTTAATTGATATTACGATATCAATCATTTATTTGATTTATTTATTTTATTTGATTGATCAATTATAATTTTCCGGTTGAGAAACTGTCTGCTCTCTTTACAGACTCTTCATAAATGGAATTTATTTACAGAAGTTACATCATCGCGAATCTTTTTTCAGAAGAATTTATCATTCGTTAAAAATTGCGAATAAATCGTTACCGAAGGCGATTAAACTGTATATCACCGTTCGACGATCGACAAATATATGCCGACTGTCTGTTTGAAATGACAACTGTATAATTAATAGCAGTAACCGGTGTTAGCCGGTGATCACAGAACAGGATACGCTTAACATTTGCGTGGTCGTGCGTATCTGTTTAGTATTCCTGATTTATTTCATACATTCTGTCTACGTTGTAAAGTCACATAATGATAGACGGTATATCTATGGGGAATCTTTCAAATAAATTCAAGCGAAATTTAACAAAAGCAGAATCAGCAAACCGTAGAAAAGAATTGCGCATGCATATAATGATGAGGTTTCGTTATCCGAAAGGTTTAACTTAATATTAATTTATCAAATTATCACGGGGCATTGAATTTGATAATGCAAAAATGCGATCTAACAATATCAAGTACATTGTTGTACTCTTCTAGAAATTATCTGATTGCAATCTATAATATTAGGCTTATGACATCGATCGTGATGCTCGCGATCAATATATTTCGATCTTTTTTTTATTAAATCACATTTATATATAGGTAGCTAGCGATATTTTTTCAAACATGATGTAACTTATTTTATAATTTCGTTATCAAATTATTCTCTTGATTTGATTGTATATATACATTCTACACGTATTCAATGATTACGAATTTATGAAGTAAGAGAAGGTTTGCGTATTTCTACATTTTTTTAATTATATATAATTTCAATTTATTTTAATAGTATATATAAAGGCAACGCACCATATAATTATTTCAATGTAAATTATAAACATAAGTCTTCAGTTGCAACGTCAATTCTATTTAAGCGTCAATCAATCTATCTTTTTTTATATACGATAATATTCGTTCTGTGAAATTTGTGTATCACAAGTATCGTTGAACGTATCTCTTGAACGAATCAAAATATTGCTCCACGATAATTCATATCGATCGCAGACACGTTTGAAAATTGAAATTCACGGCCAATCTCATTATCGCCTTACAGACTCGCTTTATGCTTACGCATTGCAGCCTGGCTCAGATAGTCAAGATAGCCATTTCTTTATCGGTGCTGTTTACTTTGGGTTTGGCGTACTACGTTCCGATCAGCATCCTGTGGCCGATGATCCTTTCGAGAATTGCCACGAAGAGCTCGCTGTATCATCGATTGTACGAAATCTCGCTCCGGTTAGGTGGCGTAATCGGAACCAGTAAGCATGTCACGATATGGTACGAATGTTGAATGTAATTGTCAGGAAGTAAGTTGTCCTTGTCGGTTCGCAGCGCTGCTGGCCATCGCCGTGCCCCAAATGGTACCTTTACTGGGTCTGTTGTCCGCCTTGGGCATGTCGACGATCATGTTGCTGATACCCATACTAATCGAGATGACGACTAAGTGGGCGGAAGCCACGAGGCCGATGTTCGCGAAGAACGTTGTTATTTTCGTCGTGTGGCTGCTGATCTTGGTGCGATTCTTCTCCGAAATAATAAGCGAGAATAAAACGCGAAAAAATATAATCGCAGGATTTGATTCTCTGCGAAACCTTGAGAAATTTATATAATCTTATTTTAAGAGTTTTTCTATTTAAATAAGTATAAAATTAATTGTTTTCAAGTTGTTAAAAAATATGTTTGAATCTTTGAACTTTTTATATCTTTGAAAAAAAAAAAAATCAACTTAATGTAGAATGTTTGCATTAATCAATTTCAATTTTTTTTTAAATAAAATCTTTAATGAATTTAATGTCAACTTGTTTACTTTTTATGGAAATATTCAGTGCCTTGTATTAAAAAATTATTGTGATATTTTCATCAAGGAAAATTTTAGTAAAATTTCTTTCTTTTTGATCAAAGAAGATCTGTTAGAATGGGATTTTAGATCGGAATTTTATAGATTGATAGATTCTATGTTATCGGTGTTTGTTTTGCTTCTTTATTATTGCAAAAACAAGATTATAAACTGGGAAAACAAGTAAAAAATCTTTATCTATGAGAAATTGTGATTACTTGCATTACTTTTCCATTGAACAGTTTTCACTTGTTTCATAATCTCTCATAGATATCTGATTTGAAGACAACAAATTATTTCGGGATGAATAACGTATGTTCGATATTTCCAGGTGATAGAATTTTTCTCGAGCCTTGAGATGAATCCACGAATTTACATCGTCATCTTTTTTCCCTTCACCTGTGCCCTGGGTTTCGTGCCGAACCTGAAATATCTGGCGCCGTTCTCCGTTATTGGCACTCTCTTCTTGAGCCTCGGTGTCTGCATCGCGCTCTATTACTTTTTCGACGATATTCCCGATCCTCGTAGACTAAACGCTCTTACGGAGATTCTACCTGTGCCCATGTATTGTGCTATCTTTCTATTTGCCTTACACAATATGACCCTCTATCTGCCATTGGAAAACACGATGAGACATCCCGATCATCTACCGCGCTTAATAATTGCCAGCATGTTGCTGAACACTGTTATATACCTGACTTTTGGTTTCTTTGGCTACAACAAGTACCCGAATGCCTGCGACACCGTCATCAAGAATTTGCCATTGGAAGAAACGTACGTGTATTAATTTCTGCCTTGCAAATTGCTTGCTTTGCCATTCATTCGGTTTTAATTGATATTACGATATCAATCATTTATTTGATTTATTTATTTTATTTGATTGATCAATTATAATTTTCCGGTTGAGAAACTGTCTGCTCTCTTTACAGACTCTTCATAAATGGAATTTATTTACAGAAGTTACATCATCGCGAATCTTTTTTCAGAAGAATTTATCATTCGTTAAAAATTGCGAATAAATCGTTACCGAAGGCGATTAAACTGTATATCACCGTTCGACGATCGACAAATATATGCCGACTGTCTGTTTGAAATGACAACTGTATAATTAATAGCAGTAACCGGTGTTAGCCGGTGATCACAGAACAGGATACGCTTAACATTTGCGTGGTCGTGCGTATCTGTTTAGTATTCCTGATTTATTTCATACATTCTGTCTACGTTGTAAAGTCACATAATGATAGACGGTATATCTATGGGGAATCTTTCAAATAAATTCAAGCGAAATTTAACAAAAGCAGAATCAGCAAACCGTAGAAAAGAATTGCGCATGCATATAATGATGAGGTTTCGTTATCCGAAAGGTTTAACTTAATATTAATTTATCAAATTATCACGGGGCATTGAATTTGATAATGCAAAAATGCGATCTAACAATATCAAGTACATTGTTGTACTCTTCTAGAAATTATCTGATTGCAATCTATAATATTAGGCTTATGACATCGATCGTGATGCTCGCGATCAATATATTTCGATCTTTTTTTTATTAAATCACATTTATATATAGGTAGCTAGCGATATTTTTTCAAACATGATGTAACTTATTTTATAATTTCGTTATCAAATTATTCTCTTGATTTGATTGTATATATACATTCTACACGTATTCAATGATTACGAATTTATGAAGTAAGAGAAGGTTTGCGTATTTCTACATTTTTTTAATTATATATAATTTCAATTTATTTTAATAGTATATATAAAGGCAACTCACCATATAATTATTTCAATGTAAATTATAAACATAAGTCTTCAGTTGCAACGTCAATTCTATTTAAGCGTCAATCAATCTATCTTTTTTTATATACGATAATATTCGTTCTGTGAAATTTGTGTATCACAAGTATCGTTGAACGTATCTCTTGAACGAATCAAAATATTGCTCCACGATAATTCATATCGATCGCAGACACGTTTGAAAATTGAAATTCACGGCCAATCTCATTATCGCCTTACAGACTCGCTTTATGCTTACGCATTGCAGCCTGGCTCAGATAGTCAAGATAGCCATTTCTTTATCGGTGCTGTTTACTTTGGGTTTGGCGTACTACGTTCCGATCAGCATCCTGTGGCCGATGATCCTTTCGAGAATTGCCACGAAGAGCTCGCTGTATCATCGATTGTACGAAATCTCGCTCCGGTTAGGTGGCGTAATCGGAACCAGTAAGCATGTCACGATATGGTACGAATGTTGAATGTAATTGTCAGGAAGTAAGTTGTCCTTGTCGGTTCGCAGCGCTACTGGCCATCGCCGTGCCCCAAATGGTACCTTTACTGGGTCTGTTGTCCGCCTTGGGCATGTCGACGATCATGTTGCTGATACCCATACTAATCGAGATGACGACTAAGTGGGCGGAAGCCACGAGGCCGATGTTCGCGAAGAACGTTGTTATTTTCGTCGTGTGGCTGCTGATCTTGGTGCGATTCTTCTCCGAAATAATAAGCGAGAATAAAACGCGAAAAAATATAATCGCAGGATTTGATTCTCTGCGAAACCTTGAGAAATTTATATAATCTTATTTTAAGAGTTTTTCTATTTAAATAAGTATAAAATTAATTGTTTTCAAGTTGTTAAAAAATATGTTTGAATCTTTGAACTTTTTATATCTTTGAAAAAAAAAAAAATCAACTTAATAATTTATCAATCCTTTCTAATCTCAATTAATCGATCGTATTAGAGTATTAGTAATAAATATAATTATAAAATAATAATAATATAATTATAAATATAATTATTGTTTATTTGAAACATCAAATTTATTTTTGATATATGTTATTGTAATATCTGGTTTGTGTTATTTTACAGATTTTCGGGGCGATAGAAAGCATATGGTCAATAGTTAGAGAATATAGGGGGACGAAACAAGAAGAATGCTGATCAGTAGTTCTGGCCAAACTACTTAAGAGACTTTTAATACAAAATTATGAAGATGCTACTGCGTTACGCGAAAGAGCCAGGAGTTACTTGGATATTGAGAATGCAAAGAATCACGTAACAAGCTATGTAAGAAGTCGTTAACGCAGCAAAGCGAAAGGATTTATTTCTTTTTTCGACTGACGAATTGACTTGTTTGTACAGTAATTCGTGCGAAAAAAATATTTTTTACATTCGTCAATGTAATTTTGTGAGACGAGCATATTGATTCGATTTACGCTTCGATTTTCTCGCTTCTAAGCGTGAGCATAAAGTGAGTTTAAGCATGATTGATATGGGGTATCGACGGTATCTAATTTCCGTAAAAACTGAAACGCGTGACATTTGCAACATCCTGCACGGCGGGATACCTTCAATTTTCTTCGGCCAGCGTTTACGTAAAGCACGCGACAAGACGGATTTGTGCCGCTTGCAACGTGGAAACAAGAGCGGCAGTTTACAATGAGAAACTGCATCGCAGTGCAGCAATCAAGGATAGAGAGGAGGAGGGAGGCCGTCAGAGACCTTCTTGCAAGGAGACGAAAGAGAGACGGCGAGAGAGCTCGCACTGTGAAGGGAAAAGGACGAGTATAAGGTGAAAGGGAACACATACGAGGTTCAGAGGCGCGAATCGAGCTGATCGCAGTCGAATAACCGACGTCCCTACGAAACCCGTGTGCGAGTAGGAACGAATTACTTGACGTAGTACTCTTCAGAAATCGACACAAGTGTCGATTCTTCGAGCAATTCGCCGATTTTAAAATTTCATTAATCGATTAATTACGCGGGTGCCAATGTTTGAAAGAGGATAAAAGTACAATGAGAAACGGAGATACACACATACACATATAATTTCGCGAGAATTAGGTAAAGAAAAAAAAAACATAAAGCAGAAAACAATTCGACGATTGTATGGTTGATATATACATATATTTCGAGAATATAACTTCGGTGAATTCGGATTTCGATATTCTGTCAATCCAAGAAATGATTATTCATTCAATACATTGCAAAAATTTAGATATATATTTTTAAAAGAATCCGAGTGTTATTTTGCAAATCAGATTTATTTATTCTCTATTTTCAGAGAGAGATCTTGATATAATCATTTTACACTACATATATTGCACATTTTTATCTTTAGAAGATCTATAAATTAAACCTTATTTAATTCTTATTATATATAATTTTTTTTTTATTTTATATGAAAATTTGCATTTTGACAACACATATAATTCTGTCAACAATATAAATTGAATACAAGAGCCACTATCTTTCTTTTAAGAGAAAGAGAGATAAGTTAGAGATTATATCTATGATATAGATTATAGATCGTAGAAAATATCTTACATGATTGAAGCACTTTCCAAGCAGCTTTGATAAATGAAAAAAAAAAAAAAATTTTTTTTTAACATACACGAATCGATTGTTTTATATGCGGACCAATTCTTTGTATAAAACTATAATACTTATATAAAATACTGATAAGTGTGGATTTGTCGAAATTCCATTTTAATTTCTGCACAAACTGTTTATCGTGTGTGTATCCCAAAGTAACATCCAATCGAGTACATTACAGACCGCCACTATCTACTCCCTCTCTTTCTAGTGTACACGCAGCGAGGAAGCTTATGCTCGGTAGTCACTCACGTGCACATCGACTGTTCGTATATATATACCTGGGTAACCTGAAGGAACTTGCCCAGTCGTGTGCGGTCTGTCACCGTTCCGCTACGATATCGTCGCCTGCGTCCCGTTACCTCGTTGTTGGCCCATCAGTATTGGACAAGGGAGCTCCCGCAGATATCCCGTAGAAAACGGTTACTCATCAATCACCCTGTGTCAATCATCGATTACCTGAGTACTAAACAGAAGAGACATGAGGAAAAAAATTATATTTTCTGGATAATCGCGGTTATTGATAAATCCATCATAGGGAGAAGAAAACCACGAAATATCTCCAGCGGAAATATTATCAATAATTTTTGATGGTATTTAAAAGTATCGTGCACCAAATGACTTATCGAATAATTTGTCGTCAGAATCAAAATTTCTGAGAATAAAGCTACGATTTTCTATCGTCACCGGGGAGAGAAATATATCTGATTTTCATCTCGCAGTGCGACCATGTGATATCTTTGAATTATCACATTTCCGACACGAAAAATCGCACTTAACGCAGATTCGCGACATAAATAATAAACAGTGACGAGTCTTTAATCATCGTCGGGAACGATCATCTGGTCATTGTCATTTTGCGCAATTACGATATGCGCCGGATGTCGGCAATTTGTTTGGATTTCGCCAGAGATATTGTAAATCATACTTGAAATATATCTATTGATCGTTTTATAATCCGACGATAAGCCATATTATCTCGCTGTATTATAAACGTAGCATTTAACAAAAGAAGCCAGAAAAAATACGAAACCTTGAATAGAACGTACGGTTTCAGAGCGCATGCGAGCACTTTACGTTTCTCGAAGAGTGGGAAAGAGAGAAAGAGATAGAAAGAAAATAGAGGACTTTAGATAAACGAGAAAATAAACAAAAAAATGTGTTTATATTGAACGTTAAATTAAAGGCAAGAGGATTGACAAGAACAATGATGTAAATCGGAAGCATTTAATGTTCTTTAACGTCGTCAAGGAAAGAAGTTCACATTCTTTGTAAATCGAGCGTGTCGTTCAACATATCTACATCGTAATACACAAGCGTAAGTACGATTTTAGTATGTAAGTTACGTTACGTTCTTTCTAGACAGTATTTCAAAAAAATTTATAGTCACTAAAATTTAATTTATGGGTTACTAACATTTGTTTTATGTAAGAGATGTCATTCTATAAAGATATTGATAAAGTCTTCTCTTGTAGTTTATATATGTAAATGGTTTATTTTAAAAATATATTTATCTATGACAATGAATATATTATTATCGTTGATAAGTTGTCAACTTGCTGATAGCATATAAAAAAGTGACATAATGCCACGTTTCTACTTGCAAGTGACAATTTATCGAATAATTTCTCAGTGTATAGAAGAAATAATACGCAAATATTCTTTTCTAATTATACACATATGATTCACTTAAGATGCGCTATCGAATCTTAAATATAGAAAATTTTAACGGCAGATTTTGTCAAAAGTTTTAATTACATTATATAATCCACACGGAAAATTTTTATATAAAATAAAATCAGCTAGAAATTAATTTAAAAAATAGTTATAAAATATAATCATATATTT